TTGGTAAATCCAGCTCACACCTTAGGTAATTCCTCTGTAGTCACAGCCTGTGCCGAAAGGCTTTAGTTCAAGTGTCCCCTTCGAACATATCCATTACCCACTACTCCGCAGGCATGCATTTACTACTCCGTGCGCCAATATTTTGACGTATAAATTTGTCAGCAATGATTTACTTTGTCTACGTCTGAACCTTTAGTGTCATCCTTCAGCTTCTTTTTGCCTTTCAGTTTCTGGTAGCCCAGAAGTAGCAGCAGCGCGGAAATTACCGTGGCAGCAAACAAACCAACCGCTATGGGCACCACCTTCTTGCGTCCCCATGCCTGGGCTAGTGCGGAGGGAGTTCCATCCACTACGAGGGCTTCACCCTCTTGGGAAGTTACATTCGTGTCGGGAAGAGGAGCGGGGTCGACTGGGCTCGCAGTCACCGCCGCTGGAAGTGCCACGAAGGCAGCCAAAAGCAAAGAGGAGGAGAACATATCTGAGAGGAAATGAGAGAATTAATGAGTTCGCAGTATGCTGCAAAATAATGCAAGTGAAAGTCCACTTTGGATGTGTGAAAGATGATTCTTGGGAACCTAAACCCTGATCGCCCCTGGCCCGTTGGGAGATTGCTTCCAATGGGATTTGGTGCACTCGAGTCCCCGCTGAAGATGGCTGCATATGTAAGTAGCTTTTATATTTCAACTTCATTGGTGGAAATGTTTACCCTATATTATGAAAAAATACGTGATGGGTAAGGTGAAGCATTCTTTGCTAACATATGACTCTATACATTCCGACTATTAATCGGCTCTGTGTGTTCGGCATGCCAGGTTGGGTGGTTTTCTGTAGTCAAGTCTCTGTGCAGATGATTCGGTAATTCTTGCAAAATATCCTGTTAGCAATTATCACATGAACATGTATTCGGTATTTGTACTAAACGCTCACGGAAGTAGGATGTGTAACAGGGGTCCTGGAGCCTATCGGTGAAGTACTCTACGCTGAAATGGAACCAAAATACTTTCGATGAGACTTACTGAACTGCAAGTGAAATCCCTCCCGAGTCTCCAGGCGTCATGAGCTCGGCAGATCAAGCGGCTGAAGCTGCTGGAGGGGAGCTTGCCTGCATGAGTTCAATGGGTGCAGCCCTGCATTCAAGGATAAACAAGCCTTCTTGGATGTGCGCGTACACACTGTAAACAGCTATCATGTACGTTATAGTGCTTATTGTTTATCTATGAGGGACGGGTAATGGTCCACGTGAGCACATCAGGCAGCCTTGCCAACATCCCACATGCTACATCTGTCCCCGCTCCAACACCACTCCACCACCCTTAGCCATTTTTAAGCAAGCAGCACGTCCTCCTGGACCAATCTCGAACCTGGGGATGGTTGTATTGGCTTACTAACCCCACATGTGGCTTCACTGTTAAGATGGCCTTGTGGTGCTCCTGGTGCTCCGCTCAAGTCCGTGCAGCACCGCATCAAGCACCCAGGCAGCCAGCCGAAGCTGTTGGAGACCTGGTGTTGCTTGGGCTGTTCAAAAGTGTATTTCCGGATCTGCAAAATAAGGTTGAACTCACCCGTACTATAGTCTGTGATACTGTCAATTTCACTCGCTGGATTTGCCGCACGGGCTGATGTGCCAGGCTGTTCAGAGGAGAGGACCTGCTGTACTCAGGATGGAAAAATGCTGGCTGTAAGTAGAATGGGGAAACTAGACCACAGTCAGAAGAGATGTTAGCAGGTTAATGCACATAAAATGAGAAGTTTTGGGGCCTCATGCAGTGTGAACCGGTAACGATTACCGAATAGACGGGTCCAAACCTTGAGGTGCACTGTTGACCCCCATGCTTACTGTAGTTGCCAACAAATCATTGATTACCTGTAGATGTCTGCGAGGGCTTCGCCCACACCACCCTCAGGGACACACTCAGCTCCGCGTTCGCCTGGTAGTATTCTCGCTTTCTTCTGCTCTATGAGTTACTTCACGATTGTTCAAGATGCATTACTAGTACAGTTGTGCATCCTCACCAAGATGGTGCTGACACTTTGCAGGCCAACTTCGAGGGTATTTCGGTGATCTGCCTGGACGGTATAGGAAGCCAAAATTAAGTGTATGGTGGAATCGCCGTGGAATCTCCAGGCTAAGGGTAATCTGACGATGTAGGCCAACCTATTCACCAGACAACGACACAGCCACAGATCCTACCGTCCGTACAGCGAGTGCTGGTTTCGGCAGTCGGCCCTCCAGCATGCTTGGGAGGAAGCGGGAAACCACCAAACCCATGCCGCTTACTCTAAAAGTATTTGCTGGATGCCGTTTGTTATAATTTCTAGCTTGGGGGTCCCGTGCAGTCCTCTCTTATCCTCGTGCCCCTGAGATATGGAAAATTGTGAGGCTGCGGACATACGGAGATGGATCCCTACAGCCAAGTAAGGTTGCGCCAGTGCCTGTGTCTCAGTGTAGACCACGCGTACCCGAGAGCGATGGAAGAATGCACTGTTATATTCCACGTTCTACTCAAGGGAGGGAATCAAGCCACTTTGAAGAATTCTGCTAGGTAAAAATTCCGCCATCACCCCCCCTCTGAATTCGTGGAAAGGAATATAACAAAATTAATGTATAGAGTTACTTGGTGTTTTTCACGTGGACTCGGGAAGCACTTGCATGAAACAGTCTGTTTCACGAGTTCCTATGGGAATTTGTTCGTCTCATCGCGGCTGAGGGTTGGGATGATATATTGGAAACAACGCTGTTTCGCTCCTGATAGGCCAACTTTTTTAACAGCATTCGGGTGTATGGATGGTACTGCAGTCGATGTAAAATGTGTTACAGCATTTTTAAAATGCTGTCAGCCAATTCCAACACACGTCCGTAGTTTCAGTGTCATGACATCTGCTGACTGCTGCTGTTCGCCGTCCAGTAAACTCCATGTTCTCGAGTAACGCTGTAGCACAACCGAGATAGTGACAACAGGAAAGTGCCAAGCGATGGGCGTTTGATTTGCTCAGCACATCTGAACAACTTCCCAGTGCACTGGAATCGTGTTTGTCTGGAGCTACGTTCTGAGTCTCAACCTCCTGGGAAGGGTTCCTCCGCTTCTAGAGAGTCATACGTTTGGGCCGGTGCTCTCAAGTCCCCTGGAAACTGGAAAAGGAGGTTAGCTCCTTGGGAAAGCTCCTGCCGTTTTCTTAGGTCTATTGCGGCTTGGCCTGGATTGGTCGAGGTTTCCAGATATAATTGATAGCACCGGTTTGTTCCCAAGGGCAGGTGAAAGCCACTAATATCACTCTCAGCAGCAGTTTGGCCTGCTGCGCAGCAGTGAGCAAAACTGAAGGTGTCAAGAAATATGTATATATGCATAAAACATTCCTCTCGAATGGAAAGTATTCGTCAAATATCAGTCCTGCACTTATCGTTTATGATTGATATTAATCAGGACCTTTCCTGCACTGGGAAGGCGGCAGACGGTTGGGTGCCTCACTGAGTTGAACAAGATGCGATTTTTGTATCCCAGCCAACGGGAAATACTTCTACAGCAAAATCAATTCGTGAAGAATGCTTTCGCCTTTGCCGGTCATTCATATTTGAGGGCCGCCGTGGTACAGGAGCAGTGGAGAAGTTGCTCTCTTCCCTAGAAATTCATCTTCCCCGCCACTAAGCACAAAAAAGCCACCAGCTGATAATTTGCTCTATCATTGTAAGAAGGGGAGGCACGACAATGGTGGGTACATCTAAAGCAACGGTATTATTTTCTAGGAGCTCATCCAGAGTATGGAATCCTTCCGGCAAGCCTTGTAATGTGGGTTCATCCGTAGGTGGGTAGGAGAACAGTGTATATATGTTTTTCAAAGCAAATTCATTTCTACCGAACTCGCTCCCCAAAACGGCGGCTTGCTGCTGCCCTACAGGCCGTCTTGCTGAGGAGATCTGATTCGTTGCTTTCACCTGACTCCGTAAACCATGCGGTGCTATGATGTGTAGGAGGAATCCTCAACCATATCTGCGGACTATTACGATCGACAACACAGCCAAAAAGGCTTGAAGTGCGAGCTCCTCTAAGTAGCTTACCCCCCTTTCCAATCTCTAGGCGACTTGAGAGCAGCTGCCCAAGAAGCCACTCCTGCGGAGGAGGAAGCGCTATGCCACCAGTCTAAAACACCTTGCTGCAACTTAAGGTACAAGACAGTCCCAGAAGTAAGCACACCAGCTAGAGCAGCAGCAGTGTGGGGGAAAGTGAGCAGCCAAACCGTCAATTTGCTTCATATATATTTACAAGAGTGATTGGAGGAGCAACTGACCTTCATATCATCCAACTTTAGACGTTCTTGCCAAAGCCTGGTACACTATGCTACGAGCAGCGAGCTCCTTTGTAATGCATGTTTGGCTTCCCTCTCTCTCCTACCTTCATAGACACATGTATCCTTGACTAGGACATTTGAAAACTAGAAGGAAGGTCAGCTGGTCTTCGATGTAGTCTTATAGTATGCATGAAGCAAATTGGTTCATTTGCAGCTAACTCTCCCCCACACCGGTGGTGCTGCTGCTGTTTCTGGTGTGCCTACGCCTGGCGTTTTAGGGTTACTGAAACAACAGTAAGAGGGGCCCTACAGAATAAAGCCTTTCGATGGTCCTTGTGCTAGCAGCAGAGTCGTTCTGTCCCTATCTCTGTCCCTTGCAGCAGCAGGAAGCAGCCGGGAATCCTAGAGGTCCAGTTTGTGTTTTACACGGTCCCCTTCCTACATTTGAATATTTCAGTTGTAATTAATGATAAAACATCAGAAATATACCGCAGATACTACTCATCTGTCTTCTTGCTGTGGGGCCGCAGGGAGGCCCGGGGCCCACCGGCTCAACAACAGCTGTTGCTGCTGCTGCTGCTAAAGTGCAAATGCAGCAACAATAGCAAGTGTTTTGCGGCTTTTCCTTTCTCCTTACCCTGAAGGCAAGCCCTAAACTCCCTCTATATTCTGCCATTCACAGGAAGAGTCCCCTCAAGGCCCAGGGGCCTCAGACGATGCTGCCACAGCAGCACGACCCAGTAGCGCAGCACCAGCAGCAAACCGTTGCTGCTGCTGCTGTGGGCTCCATTCTTGCCTCTACGTCGAACTGTCCATCTGCTTCTGCAGATCCAGCTGGTGTTGCTGCAGCAGCTGCTGCAGCCTTCGCGGCAGCAGGAGGTCACAGAGTAGGATCGCCTCTAGAAATCGATTCCGCATCTGCTGCTGCTCCTCCTCCTGCAGCAGCGGCGGAAACAGCCGATGCAGAAACAGTTGAGATATCGCCTGCTGGGCATCAGCGAGCTGCTTGCCAGGATACGGCTGCTGCTGCAGGTCCAGAGGCAGCAACAGCAACAGCTGCTGCTCCACATGCAGCTGCATCCTTATCGGTAGGAGCGACTGCAGGGTACTCTTTTCACTCTCCCTCAGGAGGACAAGGAACGATGCTAGCAGCAGCAGCAGCTCCACGATCAGCAGCAGCAGCTCCACCAGCAGCTCAACCAGCAGCTCCACGTGCAGAAGGGCTGAAGACAGCCGCATCTGCTTCCGTAGCAACAACTTTGCCGGACGCAACAGCAGCAGCATCACCGAGCGCAGATGCTACCCTTCCAGCGGCAAGCAGCCTCAGCAGCAGCAGCAGCAGCAGCAGCAGCGGCAGCGGCTCCAGCAGTAGCTGCACCAACCTGCATGAAGCATTACAAAGGGAAATTGTAATTGATGGAGAGACAGAAATGGATGATCTTCTTGTTGCAGCCCATGTGGCGCAGGTCTGCTGCTGTTGCTACTACTGCTGTTGTTGCTGCTGTTGTTGCTGCTGCTCCTTCTGCTGCTGGCTGCGGTGTTGTCTGCGCTCCTCCTGCGTGTCTTACTGGTAGCTGCTTCTGGATGCTGCTGTTGTGCTGCTGCTGCTGTTTGTGTGCAGGCGGAGACGTTGCTGCTGCAGCAACTACAGCTGGCTGACCCCGTCGACCCAAAACTGCTACAGCGGCCTCGTGCTGCTGCTATCCACCGCAGCAGCAGCACCAGCAGCAGCAGCAGCGACAGCAGCGACAGCGAAGGTGAACAGGTTCCCCGTAGCAAGAAGGGAGCAGCAGCAGCAGCACCGTCAGGACGCACTGGCCTAGCAGCAGCGGGACAGCTTGAGCAGCAGCGGCAGTTGCTGAAACAGTGGGATTCTACAGAGGGAAAACCGGAAGCAGCAGCAGCAGAAGCTGCAGCAGCAGATGCTGCTCCAGCAGGAACAGCAGCAGCAGCAGGGGATGCTATGGAAGCAGATTGCTGCAGCGATGAGGAGGAAGGTGGTGGTGCCACAAAGCAAGACCTGCGCTCACTCATACAAGTTAGTTGCTGCTGTTGCTGCTGTTGTTGCTGCTGCTGTTATTGCTGCTGTTAGTGTGCCGGCAGTGCTGTTGCTGCCCCTTTTTCTAGCAACTTGCTTCCCCCGCAGCAACCGCAGCAGCAGCAGCAGCAGCAGCAGCAGCGCTGCTGCTGCATCCATGGTTGCACTTAGTATTGCTTTACTACTGTTGCATCTGCATGTGATCTGCTGCTGCTGCATCTGCTGCTGCTGCTGCTGCTGCTGCTGCTGCAGCCGATAGAGGTGGCGGGCTTGCCCGAGTTTGTACCTGAGGGAGGAGAGCTGCTGCAGTGCGGGCAAGTTGAATCTATTATAGGAGAAGTTATTTGTGTAAAGGCGCAACAGGTGCAGCAGCAGCAGCAAAACCCTAAACCCTAAAACCCTAAACCCTAAAACTCTAAACCCTAAACCCTAACAACCCTAAAACCCTAAACCCTAGGGCACAGAGAGACAGAGAGCTACATAAGGGGAGGAGGAAACAGATATGCATATAAACCCTTTCATTATATATCCCCCTTGATGTGCTGCTGCTGCTGCTTTCGCTGCTGCTGCTGCTGCTGCTGTTATTGTTTTAGGGCTCGAACCCGATGGATCTTGGCTCTGTTGTGTGTCTTGAGGATCGCCGCATATTGGGAGTTGTGTGTCCCCCTCCAGCTAATATCCTTTTAGCTAGCTAGCTAGCTGCCCACCTAGCTAGCTGTCTACCTAGCTAGTTGACTAGCTAGCTACCTAACTAGCTAGCTCAATAGCTAGCCAGCTAGGTGTGTCTGTTTTGCTGCTGCAGGTGGCGGATACCTTCGGTCCAACTGCCTCTCCCTTTTATGTGGTGTACGTACAGCCGGCGGTGTTAGCAGCAGCAGCAAACAGCATAAAGCCAGTATGTATTATCTTCCTTCTTTTTCTTGTCTTTGTCTCTCTTGTCTTGTTTGTCTCTTCTTGTGTCTCTTGTCTCTCGTCTCCTCTCCCTTGTCTCCTGTCTTATGTCTATTATATCTCGTCCCCTGTCTCATGTCTCTTTTCCTTTGTTTCCTACCTCCTGTCTCCTGTCTGTTATCTCTTGCCCCACTGCTGTTCTGCTACTGCTGGTGCTGCCGCTAGTACTACTACTGCAGCTGCTACGGTTGCTGGTACTGTCGCTGCAGCAACTACTGCTCCTGCTGCAGCTACTGCTGCTGCTGCTCCTTTTGCTTCTGCTGCAGGGTGTGCCGGTGCTATGTGACGTAGCGCATGCATCATTTTTGATGGACCAGCAGGGCAAGGCTCTCGACTACCTGCACTTCAGGTTAGTTGCTGCTTGAGCCAGCAGCAGCAGCAGCCGGAGCAGCAGCAGCAACAGCAGCAGCAGCAGCAGCAGGCAACGCTTTGCTTGTGTGCTTCTGTGTTGCAGGAGCGGCCCCTTTAGCGGCCGCCCAGAGGATGGAGATGGTTGGGAAGATGATTCAGAGGATGAAGGGGAGATGCAACAGCAAGAGCAGCAGCAGCAGCAGCAGCAGCAGCCACAACGGCAGCAGCGCAAGGGGAAGGCAGCTCAGCAACAGCACCAGCAGTTCAACTCGCCGCAAGGCGCCGCCCGTAATCAGCAGCAAACAGAACAGCAGCAGCAAGGCAAACGAAGTCGATCTCGCAGGGGAAGGAACCAGCAGCAGCAGCAGCAGCAGCAGCAGCAGGAGCTGGGTGGTGCCCAAGTGCCTTCATCTCTGCCACCATGGCAGCAGCAGCAGCAGCAGCAACTGCAGCAACCCCACATGCCACATGCAGCAATTCCTCCTCCCCCTCCTCCACCAGCCTTTCAACCCGCATGCCAGCAGCAGCAGCAGCACTATATGCAGCAACAGCCGCAGTACATGCAGCATCCGCAGCAGTATATGCAGCAGCAGCAGCACCAGCCCTCTCAGTTTAACCAGATCCCTAGGCCACCGCAGCCGCCCCCTTACCCAGCGCCGCCGCAGCAGCAAGCTGCGTCTATAGGGCAGCCACAGCAGCAGGCATATATGCAGCAGCAGCCCTACATGCAGCTGCAGCAGCAACAACCCTATATACAGCAGCAGCAGCCGCAGCAGCAGCCCTACATGCAGCAGCAGCCCTACTTGCAGCATCAGCAGCCACAGCAGCAACCCTACGTTCAGCAGCAACAGCCGCAGCAGACACTCCGCCAGTTCTAGCTGCTGATGGAGGGAGTGGACCATAATGCAGCAGCAAGAGCAGCAGCAGCAGTAGCAGCAGCAGAAGCTGCAGCAGCAGCAGGCAACAGCTAGGACCTTCGTCTGCGCAGCTACGGTGCAGAGACACCGTAAATATAGGCAGTATTATGCATGCACTGAGGGCCTAGCTAGCTAGCTAGCTGGCTTGGTAGCCAGCTGGCTGTGTAGCTGGCTAGCTGGATAGCTGGATATGTGGCTAGCTAGCAGCTCGCCTGCAGGGTAGCTGCGTTCCTACACGGCAAACCGCCAAACCGGAAGCCATGCAGCATCTGCAGCAGCAGCAGCAGCAGCAGCAGCAACTGCTGCTGCCCTGCTGCTTAGTGCCTTTACGCCCAACTCTGCTGCTGTTTAGTAACTGCCTCCACTAAGGAGAGAAAAAAGAAGAAAAAGAGGAGACAAAGGAGACACAAAACACTTCCTCAGGTGTATGTACACCAGAGCAATAACTAATTAATGCTGCAGTGTATGCATGCAATTGAGGTGTACATACACCCCAAATATGTATCGTAACATAGGGAAAAGAACATATATTAAACAGAATAATCCGCTGGATGTTGCTGCTGCTACTGTTGTTGCTGCTGCTGTTACTGCTGCTGCTGCTGCTGTTACTGCTGCTGCTGCTCCTGCTACTAGCAGTGTATACACGGTGTGCATACACACGAGTATGTTGCGATTAATGTGTGTCTATGTAGGTATTTTATTTAATGAATAAAAAGAATATTTATATAAATAATAATTAAATAATAAAATAATTAATGCATTATATTAATACTCCTAACTAATACTGCCTAGTTAGTTAGCGGTATCACTACAACAGCAGCAGCACGAGCAACAGCAGCAGCAGCAGCAGCAACAGCAGCAAGGAAGAGCTGTTAGCTAGCGGTGTAGAGGGTAACAACATAAAGTTTATTATTTATAATTTATTTGTCTGTGTAGAAGACAAATAGAATAAAAGACAAAATAAAGACAAAGAGAGTCGGCAGCGGCGAGGGCTGCATGCACGGACAGCCGCAGCAGCAGCAGCAGCAGCAACAGCAGCAGCAAATGCAGACAGAGGGGAAAACACCCATAAAAACAGATTATTTTTTTCTTTTTTGTTTAGCTAATCATTTATTCAGCTACCTCTCCCCCTTTCTTCTTATTCATCACTCCCTTGCAGTGGGGTTGCTGCTGCTGCTGCTGCAACTGCTGCTGCTGCTGGTGTTTGTATTGATTGTGGTTTATTACGATGGTGGTTGCAGCTGCAGGCGCTATCGGTTCTGCTGCAGCGCAGCAAGCAGCATCTGCAGCAGCAGCAACTGCTGCTGCTGCAGTAAAAGAAACAGCACGTTGCTTCCGCTGGCAGCAACTGTTAGCAGCAGCAGCAGCAAAAGGATATAGGAGTGCAACATTACCTCAAGGAAAGGCAACAATAGTTCCTCTTGTCCCTCCACAAGACAGCAGCAGCAGCAGCAGCGACACCACCAGCAGCGACACCACCAGCAGCACCAGCAGCAGCAGCAGCAGCAGCAGCAGCGACAGCAGCAGCAGCAGCAGCAGCCTGAATAAGGTAATATTTGAAGGAAGATATACAAACTTCTCTCTTGTTCATATATGGGAAAAGTATGATTTCTTACAAACACATTTGCTGCTGCAGGAGGCGCTGCTGCTGCAGCAGGGGCAGCAGCAGGAGTTGCTGCAGCCAGAGCATGAGCTGCAGCAGAGACCAATGGTCTCCCTCTCCCTTGATAAACCACAGGCCGGGCCCCTTGATAACCCCCAATAAGTACTGCTGCAGCAGCAGCAGCAGCAGCAGCAGCAGCAACAGCATCTATACAGAAGCAGCAGAACTAGCTGCTAGCAGCAACAGCAGCAGCACCGACAGACAGCAGCTAATCAGCTGCTGCGGCGGTAGTTGCTGCTCTGCGGCTGCAGCAGGCAGCCCATAGCTGGCTGCCCATCAGATGCCTGCTGCTGCTGCTGCAGCAGCAGCAGCAGCAGCAGCAGCATCGTCTGCCCTATTTGTGCCGCAGTGTTTGCCGTTCGTCTCCACAAAAGGAGACAAAATTTTTGTTAGTCAACAGAAGCAAACAGCTTAAGTACCGCCAAGTCTTTTAGTAGCTGCTGCTGCTGCTGTTGCTGCTGTTGCTGCTGCTGCTGCTGTTGTTGTTGCTGTTGCTGCTGCCTGGCCGTATGGGCCAAAGATACTAGGAAACTGCACTGCAACAATCTAGCTAGGGGGAATGCTGCTACATCTGGTGCTATTGCTGCTGTTGCTGCTGCTACTATTGTTGCTGCTGTTGCTGCTGTTGCTGCTGTTGCTGCTGCTGCTATTCAAGTCTAAAGGGTATTCTGACAAATTTCGGCGTTCCCTGCGACTTGCTGCAGCCGCATTGCCTCATGGGCCCCCCTGCTGCTGCTGCTGCTGCTGCCGCTTCTGCAACAAGGGCAGCAGCAGCAGCAGCAGCAGGAAGCACTGCGTGCAAAAAAGTTGCCTGTACACTAAGCTGCGGTGTCTGCTGCAGTTGCATCTGATTCTGCAGCAGCAGCAGCTGCTGCTCCTTGTGTTTTTCTGCTGTACTGTTCGTACAGCTGCAGCAGAGACTGTGGGGTACGGGGCTGCATGCGTTGCAGCGCGGTCTCAAAGTGCCGCAGCTGCACTGCCGGCAGACGCTCAGTCTGCTGCTGTTGCTGCTGCTGCTGCTGCTGTGCAGTGTCTGCGCAGCAAGCAATATGGTCTCTTATTGCATTTAGTGTTGCTTCCTTACAGATCATAACAATCTCTGCTCCGCTGTATCCAGCTGTACGTACACTTAGCCAATTAGCAACAACAGCAGCAGATGATGCTGCAGTACCATTTTGCTGCTGCTGCTGCTGCTCTTGTTGCTCTTGCTGCTCTTGCTGCTGCTGTTGCTGCTCCTCTTCTAGCTCCTTAGTAAGCCCGTCTTCCCTTTTGTGGTTTGTATGCTGTACAGCATTTTGCTGTTGTTGCTGTTGCTGTTGTTGCTGCATTTGTTGCGCTGCAGCAGCAGCAGCATCAGGGTGTATAGGGAGATGACGTATATGATTAAATACGATTTGCTGCCTTGCTGCTGCATCAGGTAGGTGTACATACACCAGACGATCTAGACGACCAGGACGCAGCAAAGCAGCATCAAGTAAATCAGGACGATTTGTTGCTGCTAATACAACTACAGAGGTGTGGGGCCCTATGCCATCCATTTCTGTTAATAATTGAGATAAGACACGAGTCTCTACCTGCAGCAGCAGCAGCAGCAACAGCAGCAGCAGCAACAGCAGCAGCAGCAACAGCAGCAGCAGCAACAGCAGGAGATATGGTAACAGCAATACAAGAACAGCAGCAACAAGAACAACAAAGCAGCAGCAGCAGATGTAGCTTTCATGCTAAAACGCGGTCGCAGCAGCAGCAGGCAAAGAACGGCAGGAGCAGCAGCAGCAGCAGCAGCAGCGGCAGGTGTATACGTACACCTGATGCATCTCCTCTTTCTCTGTCTACTCCTAATGCATCAATTTCATCAAAGAAAATCACGCAAGGAGCATTTTGTCTTGCACGCCTGCATGCATGCACAACTGCAGCAGCAACGTTCTCCTGCTGCAGCAGCAACGTTCTCCTGCTGCAGCAGCAACGTTCTCCTGCTGCAGCAGCAAGTGTCTCATGCTGCAGCAGCAAGTGTCTCCTGCTGCAGCATCAGTTTTTTTCTTTTGATACTTCAGCAGCAACAGCAGCAGCACAGCAGGGTGCCCATGACAAATGCGCAGCAGCAACAGCAACAGCAGCAGCAACAGCAACAGCAGCAACAGCAGCAAAACAAGCAAGCAGCAACAAACCTGAATAAATCCCTGATGGCCTTCTCAGACTCTCCAACCCATTTCGAAAATAATTCCGGACCCTGCAGCACACCAAACCCTAAACCCTAAACCCTAAACCCTAAACCCTAGACCCTAGACCCTAGACCCTAGACCCTAAACCCTTTTTTCCCCTAGAAGGAACAATCCTTCCTCACCATATATATTCATATACTTATCCATTACATGCCTTTGCATTATGTTCCCTGGTATTTAGGGTTTAGGGTTTAGGGTTTACAACTACAACCCTGCCCGCCATATAGTATTTAGTGTTTAGGGTTTAGGGTTTATACGGTATACCTTAACAGATAAAAATTTCATTTTGCTCTCCGTGGCTACAGCCTTAGCTAATAGAGTCTTACTACATCCTATACTATATAGTGCTTAGGGTTTAGGGTTTAGGGTTTAGGGTTTCCTGCCTACCTTAACAGATAAGAAATTCATCTTGGTCTGTGTGGCTACAGCCTTAGCTAGTAGAGTTTTACTACATCCTATACTATATAGCGTTTAGGGTTTAGGGTTTAGGGTTTAGGGTTTAGGGTTAATTACCTTAACAGAGAGGAAATTCATCTTGGTCTGTGTGGCTACAGCCTTAGCTAATAGAGTTTTACTACATCCTATACTATATAGTGTTTAGGGTTTAGGGTTTAGTGTTTAGGGTTTAGGGTTTAGGGTTTAGGGTTAATTACCTACCTTAACAGAGAGGAAATTCATCTTGGTCTGTGTGGCTACAGCCTTAGCTAATAATGTTTTACTACATCCTATACTATTTACTATATAGTGTTTAGGGTTTAGGGTTTAGTGTTTAGGGTTTAGGGTTTAGGGTTTAGGGTTTACCTTAACAGAGAGGAAATTCATCTTGGTCTGTGTGGCTACAGCCTTAGCTAATAATGTTTTACTACATCCTATACTATTTACTATATAGTGTTTAGGGTTTAGGGTTTAGTGTTTAGTGTTTAGGGTTTAGGGTTTAGGGTTTAGGGTTAATTACCTTAACAGAGAGGAAATTCATCTTGGTCTGTGTGGCTACAGCCTTAGCTAATAGAGTTTTACTACATCCTATACTATATAGTGTTTAGGGTTTAGGGTTTAGTGTTTAGGGTTTAGGGTTTAGGGTTTAGGGTT